CTATGATGGGAGATCTTTACAGTCTTAGTAATCTTTTGAAGTTTGTTAAGCTTTCTTTGTGGCTTAGCATGTGATCAGTTTTTAATAAATATTTCTTATGTGCTTATAAATGAAATCATACAGGATGTCCTTTCTGAAACTCGATTTTTTTTTCACTCGGCGTAATTCTCTTGCAATCCATCTAAATTGTTGTGTGTGGTTGTTTTTATTGTGGAGTAGTAGTCCATGAGGACTTCCCACGTGGCTCAGTGGTACAGAACCCGCCTGCCAGTGCAGGAGACACTAGACAGTCAGGTTCGATCCCTGGGTCCGGAAGACCCCCTGGAGGAGGGCATGGCAACCCACTCCAGTGTTCTTGCCTGGAGAAGGCCATGGACAGAGGAGGCTGGGGGGCTACAGTCCCTGGGGTCACAAGAGTCAGACATGACTTAGCGACTAAGGAACAACAACAGTATTCCATGATATGGATGTACCGGTTTGTTTAACCGTTCACCCATTGAAGGACAAATGGATTCTTTATCGTTTTTAGTTATTAAGAATAAAGCTTCTATGTACATTTCTGTAAATTTGTATGAGCATAGTTTTTATTTCTTTGGGATAAACATCCAAGAGTGCAATTGTTGGGATGTCTGGTGAGCTCGTATTTAGCTTTAGAAGAAGCTGCCAGACTTCTTTGCAGAGCAGCTGTGCCATTTGACATTCGTGCCAGCAGTGATCCAGTTTGTCTGCATGCACCTCGCTGATATTTAGTGTATCAACATGCTTTACTTTACATTCCCACAGGGTGTACTGCTACCTCCCTGAGCCTTCCAGTCGCATTTCCTTAGTTGCTAATGACGTTGAACACTTTTTCCTGTGACTATTGTTGAGAATGGAATTTCATCTTCATTCAGTCCCTTGATTTTTTTAATTTGGTTTTTCATATTTTCAGGATCCTTGCTACCTTTTGGTCTTGTTGACCAAATCTACTTCAGTGAAAATGTCCCTCTGTGACTGTAGATGTATCATTTTCTCCGTATAATTCTGCCAGCTTTTGCTTTTTGTATTTTTCGCTGTGTTGTTAGGTAGAGCACATTCAGAATTGTTCCATCTTCCTGATGAATTATTCATTTCATCATAATGCAGTTGTTCCCTTTATTCATTTTTGCCCTAAATATATATTTGTATGCTTGGCCTTAATCATATATTAGATCTGATAGTGATAGAGTCATTTAAGCTCCTTTTTAGTTAGTGTTTGCATAGCCTGTGTGCTCAGAATTGAGAATTCTCAGGGGAGACACTTTTCTCCCAGTTCCAGGGCAGATAATTCCACCCCCAGGGTTTCCCCAGCACGTGTCTTAGCTCTCTCTCTCCCGTAAGGCATTATATTTTCAGCTTCAGGCATTTAGTAAAACACTGGCTGCTCAGGTGTCATAATTTATATGACACCTGGGCTCGTGGCTCAGACGGTAAAGAATCTGCCTGCAGTGCAGGAGGCCAAGGTTTGACTCCTGGGTCGGGAAGATCCCCTGGAGAAGGGAATGGTGACCCATTTCATTTTTCTCGCCTGGAGCATCCCATAGACAGAGGAGCCTGGAGGGCTACAGTCCATGGGGCTGGAAAGAGTTGGACACGACTGAGCGACTAAGCAGCTCAATTCCAAAGCCTCGTCACGTACAGACCTAAGGTTCCGTCTCCTTCCTCCATGAGGGCATCAAACCCAAGCCCCACCGCAGACAGCTACACCGCAGGCTCGTGTGCCTGCTGTATTTTCGGGTTTCAGTCTCAGCATCTGGTGATGCCCCTTGTACCTTCATACTCGCATTTTAAAGAACGTTAGTTATAAACATAGTTATAAAACTACATTGAAGAATGTATTTTTTTCTTCAGTATTTCTGGGTGTTTGGGATGTGCAGGGGTGGGGGGATGGCCAGGTTATCTGGTCTGGTGTGTTGCTAACAGAGCAGGGCAGTTCCCACCAGGAGTGCTCATCTAGCCTGAGAATGGCATCATGTTGTTGGACAGTTGTAGAAGCCTGGATGTGTCCTTTCTGACCTTGACATTGTAAGAATTCAGCAAGTCTGATGTTTTGGACCCTGGAAGCCCTGCTAGGGTGATGCACCTACAAAGACCCACAGTGTGTATTTCTTGGTTCAGAGTCATTTTGAACTTAGGGTACCAGAAGGACTGGTCTTAAGAACATCAAGATTGTTTTAAATATTTCAGGTTATAAATTTGAGAACGTTTATTAACACAGTATTAATAAATAGCATTAAAATCTCATTGTTGCTTACATAAGACTTTTGTAAAACAGAACTCTATCAGTTATAAAACTGATCAGTTTTCCAACTGAAGTTCTTTAAAAATGTTTCTAAGCATGTTTCAAAATTATGCCTAAGCAAAGTACAGTGGTAATCTAGCTATTACAGGTAGGCTGCACTAATAGTACATGCAAAATACAGAATTTAAGGAGGGAAATGTATGTATATTGTAACTAGTATAGCTTCTCCATAAACTAGTTGCATTATTTACATATGTGCTCTAGTTTATGTTTTTAAATTGTAAGAATAATATTCATTTCCTTTTTGTAGTATTGCCATGTTTTTTTTTTAATTTTCTAAATGTACAAAATCCTTCAAATAATTGGAACCTAAGAAAAGTTTCCTTTCAGGTTTTTATTTTTGAACATTTCCTTCTTTGAACTTTTTTTTAGAGCCTTGAGTTAGTCTTCCCCTTACAAGCATTCCTGCAGTTGCACCAAGAGTAAACTCAATCCCCAGAACGTTGGTTCAATGATGAGACTTTTGTTAAATGATTAGAATTCATCAGAAGCAGAATGTCATGACCTTGCCACTGGAGTTTAGTCCTCTGTGCCCAGAATGACAAGTTCTGAAATAAAGATTCTGTTATTGATTATTCTTGTGTGCTGAAGGAACGATTAAGTATTTGTTGTTGTTCAGTTGCTAAGTTGTGTCCAACTCTTTGTGACCCCGTGGACTGCAGCACGCCAGGCTCCTTTGTCCTCCACCATTTCACAGAGTTGCTCAGATTCATGTGCACTGAGTCAGTGATGCTAACTAACCATCTCATCCTCTGTCACCCCCTTCTCCTTCTGCCTTTTAATCTTTCCCAGCATCAGGGTCTTTTCCAGTAAATCGGCTCTAAGCATCAGGTGGCCAAAGTACTGGAGCTTCAGCTTCAGCATCAGTCCTTCCATTGAATGTTCAGGACTGATTTCCTTTAGGACTAACTGGTTTGATCTCCTTGCTGTCCACGGGACTCTCAAGAGTCTTCTCCAACACTACAGTTCAAAAGCATCAATTCTTTGGCATTCAGCCTTCTTTTTGGTCCTCCTCTCATATCCGTACATTACTTTTAATACACTATCTAGGTTGGTCATAACTTTCCTTTCCAAGAGCAAGTGTCTTTTAATTTCATGGCTGCAGTCACCATCTGCAGTGATTTTGGAGCCCAAGAAAATAAAGTCTCTCACTGTTTCCATTGTTTCCCGATCTACTTGCCATGAAGTGATGGGACTGGATGCCATGAGTTAGTTTTTTGAATGTTGAGTTTTAAGCCAAATTTTTCACCTTCTCTTTCATCCTCAACAAGAGGCTCTTCAGTTCCTCTCCCATTAAAGTAGTATCATCTGCATATCTGAGGTTATTGACATTTCTCCCAGCAATCTTGATTCCAGCTTGTGAATCATCCAGCCTGGCATTTTGCATGACATACACTGCATATAAGTTAAATAAGCAGGGCAAGAATATACAGCCTTGGCATACTTCTTTCCCAATTTTGAACCAGTCAGTTGTCCTATATCTGATTCTAATTGTTGCTTCTTGACCCGCATACATGTTTCTCAGAAGACAGGTAAGATGGTCTGGTATTCCCATCTCTTTAAAAATTTTCCACAGTTTGTTGTGATCCACACAGTCAGAATCTCTAGAGTAGTCAATGAAGCAGAAATAGAGGTTTTTCTGGAATTCCCTTGCTTTCTCCATGCTCCAGCCACTGGCCCTTGGATTATTTTGTCTAATAAAAGGTGTGTCTATGAGTCAGGATGGCCATCATCAAGTAGTCTCCAAGCAATAGATGCTGGAGAGGATGTGGAGAAAAGGAGCCCTCCTACACTGTTGGTGGAAATGCAGTTTGATACAACTGCTATGGAGAATACGATGGAGGTTCATAAAAAGGGATCCCACTCCTGAATATATATATCTGGAGAAAACCATAATACGAAAGCATTCATGCACCCCAGTGTTCATAGCAGCACTGTTTATGAGAGCCCGGACACGGAGGCAACCTCCATGTCTGGTGTGTGTGTATGTGTGTGTGCGTGCTCAGTTCTGTCCAGCTGTTTGCAACCCACCAGGGTCCTCTGTCCATGGAATTTTCCAGGTAAGAATAATGGAACAGGTTGCCATTTCCTTTGCCAAAATGCCCAGAGGAATAGATAAAGAAGATGTGGATAAAGAAGACATACATATACATATATACAATGAAATATTTTTCAGCCATATAAAAGAATGAAATAATGCCATGTGCAGCTATTTAGATGGACATAGAGATTATCATATTAAGTGAAGTAAGTCAGACAAAGACATATCATGATATCACTTATATGTAGAATCTAGAACAAAGTTGTAACAAATGAACTTATTTACAAAACAGAAATAGACTCACAGACATAGAAAACAAACTTATGGCTACCAAAGGCGATTGGGGGTGAGGGGGAAGGATAAATTAGGCGATTGAAATTAACATACACACGCTACTATATATAAAGTAGATCACCAGCAAGGATCTCCTGTGTAGCACAGGGAACTCAATGTTCTGTGATAACCTATGTGAGTAAAGAATCTGAAGGAGAATGAATGTATGTACATGTGTTACTGAATCACTCGGCTATGCACCTGACACTAACACACCATTATGAATCAACCATACTCCCAACGAAACTCTTGAAAGATCAGAATAAACGGCCTGGCCGTTTACGTCAGCTCTGCATTTTCTTCCAGGTGACCTTCCGCACCAGAATCTATCACTGTAACATTAACAGCCAAGGCGTGATCTGCCTGGACATCCTGAAAGACAACTGGAGCCCGGCCCTCACCATCTCTAAAGTCCTCCTGTCCATCTGCTCCCTGCTGACAGACTGCAATCCCGGTAAGACTCCCATCCGCGGAGGCTGGAGCTGCACCCCGCTGCAGGGCGCGCTCTCGCTTCACTGTTTACCACCAGGACCGCCACTGGCGCGGTTACTTTCATTATTATTCATTTTAAATTTCCATCATTTGTAACTCCTCCCTTTTTCAGTTCAGTCCAGTCATCAGTCTTTTTAAAACCTATTATTTGCCAAAAAGGAGAAAGCACAGTGTGTAATCAGAGTGAATGAAAAATCATTTTAGATGGGGAAGTGCATTTAAAGAATGCCTTACCTTCTGCTGCCACATCATAATAGGAATTCAAGTTGAATAGCCTAATCTTTAATTAGATGCCCCCCAGAAGACGCTCGTTTGAGAGATGAGGACTGTTAAAATCCGATCACCCCTCAGGCAGCACCACAGAGAGGTCGCCATTTGGCATTTTCACAACCGTGCGTCCATACAAGCCGTTAGAGCCGAAAGGCCCCTGCGCCAGGAAACACCGAGAAAGGCAACGGGGAACCGCAGCTTCCCAGGGCCCCTGAGCGGAGCCGTGCCCAAGCCCCCGGGCCTTCTGCGCGCGGGCTGCCGGAGCTCCTCCTTCCGGGGCTTCCCGGATGTGAGTCCACGGCTTTGACCGCCGCTTCCGGCTGGGCCAAGCCCGCTGCCACCAGGTTACGTGTTCGGCGGTTTGGGGGGAAAATAACGGAAGTCCAAAGGGTTTTCATCGGGGTTTTCATCGTTGTTCTTAGAGAGAAGTTCTTCTTCCAGTGTTTAATTAATAGTCTTAAGATTTTTTGAGATTCCATCTTCCATGTTCAGGACATGAACTCACTAGATAAGTGAAGTTTCAGACAAGAGAGAAATGGCAAGTGGGAACTAGGGTCTCTCTTAGGACCCGGGCTGGTTAATAAAACGTGTAGAAATGGTCATCTTTTCCATCTATGTTTGTTGTTTTTCAGTAGTAAAAACTTATTTTTAATGAAGACATTTAAAAACAGAATTTAGTTAAGTTGTGATATATGTAAACTATATATAACAAATCAATGCTTTTAACACCAAGAAACTAAAATATAATTGTGCAAGATCATTGTAAAATATTTTTGAGTTAATTTATACTGAATGCCAGATTGCGTAGTTCAACCGTGATGCACTGATTTAATGCAAGAACATATACTTTGTATTTTGAATGTCACTATTCCTGTTTCAATCCCATTTGTCTGTATGATGGTGTGTGACGTCATTGGGAGGTCATGTCATCAAAACACTTTGCATGTGTGTGGTTTTGCCTTTGGGAAATGTTGCACCACAGGATTACAGTCTGCCTCCCCACTCCCCAGAAGTACCTTCTGATAGTGTTTTCAGACACTTCGAGGGCAGTGTGTTTTAGAGAAAAAATTTATTTCGAGAGGTGAGTCACTTATTCAAGAAACTTTTGGTGCGAGGTTATTATGCTGTACACCGTAAACTCAGGTGTGTGTCAGTTATATCTCAGGGAAAAAAAGAAAGAAAGCAAAATAAATTTTTGACATCTATGAGGCAGTTTTGACCACAAGATAAATTTCTTATACATGGAATAAGGTGTTAGGTCACACTTAGAACACTTGGTGCCAAGAGACAGCCTTACCCCAGTGGGAACCACATTAGCGGAAATGGACCCTGTCACCCTGACGGTTCTCCTGCGTTCCAGAACCACCTTCTCTCAGCAGTTGAAAGGTTTCTGTTCCATAAATTAGTGTCCTTTTTCTGTGACACAGGAAATTACAGATACATTCCACAGAAAAAAATATATATGTATCAAAATCATCCTTAGTGGAAACAAAATCACATAAACAAATAGATTTTGTAGATCATGCTATGAATATTAAGAAAAAGCCTAAAGCTAATAATGTTCCTTAAGTTTCACCAACTAAAGATGGCTTATCTGGTATCAGAATAGATTCCTATCTGTAAAATACATGGTAACAAACTAAATGTTCATCCTTTAACACACATAAAAAAAGATTTCTAATTGGTACCTCATTATAGGTATGTTTCTGTTCACACTTCTAGAGTCTTAAAAAGAAGTTACTCAAAACAAGCCAAAATGTCCATTGTTTTGTTCAGTGAGTTTATTTCACATTGTCTTCTGGTACCCTTCCCTCCATTCTCTGTCAATGTTTCTCTCTAGACTTATGTTGAACTTCAATCTGGCCTATTTTCACGTGATCACAAATGTAAGTTTAATAGAATATGAATAAGGACTTTCCTGCACTGAGTCCATGCAGCTGTTTTCACACCAGAAATGCTGTCAGCTCAGAAGTAGGTTTTGCATAAAGGTACAGGTTTAACCAACTTTGTGAGGGCTATCACTCTTGTCCCTACATAAACTGGGGGGGGGGGAGAGGGGAGGAGGTCATCTTTTTACATGCTTTTCTCTTAATTTATGTTTATCTCTTCCAAGAATTTGGCCCATTCAAAGCAAATGTTTCAGGGTAAGGCTACACACCCTGTCTTGCTTGATAGTGAGAGTCCACAAATATAGATTTCAAAACCAGCTGCACTGTTTATTACCAATGTGACCTTGTACCAGCCATTTAACTTTGCTCAGCCTCCGTTTCTTCTATAAAACAGAGATTATCCTCAGCTGTACCTAAGTCACAGGATTCCTGTGAGTTTAAAATGAGATCTTGTATGTGAAAACCCATTGTAAACAGTAATGGGTTGCTCTTGATGTTATTTCCCAGAGTATTTAGGACTCCAGATGTACATAGATTAGATGCGATCTGTTCCCGCGAGGCTGCATTTAACCAAGAGAAGATAGAATTGAATACTGTCTCTCACACCATCTCCTCAACAACTGACACATTGGGATTTTTCATTGGAAGAAAGCCTCGTCCTGAATTCCTGTGTCCATAAACTGGAACGCTGTGTGATAGGAGTGCTGAGACCTTCTTATCTCTTGGGAAGGATCGCTCGGACAGCGATGTCCGACAGCGCGCCGGCCCTTGAGGGTGCCCGGGGCGCTCCATCCCCGAGGCCGCGGTGGGGGGACCTCCCTGCGGGCCTCAGCGGGCTGGCCACGCTTCGCAGGGGGCCCCTGGGCCCGCCGCGGCGCCTGCTTGCCCGGGCAGGGCTGGCCGCCGGCGGATGACCGTGGCCGCTGCCGGGAGCAGAGAGCCGGGCGATAGCGGCTGAGAAGCGCAAGGGCCCGCACCGGGGATCCGCTGGCGTCCAGGGGCCGGGACTCCGCGCTCCCAGTGCCGGGGCCGGTCTCCATCCCCGACTGAGGAGCTAGCGCCTCATGCTGCAGCTGAGACCCAGTGCAGCCGAGATAATCATACGTGTTTATTGATAAAAAACAAAGGCCAGCACCAGCCCCCCAGATCCCCTGACGGCGGTCGCGTGGTTTCATCCAGAAGTCGCTAAAACTTACAGTTCTAAACACGTTTCCATTTCTTCATGGAATGCACCTATTTGTAAACACTCTCTTCTCAAGCATATATAACATTTAAGCTCTCCTACGTAATTTCATCTTTTAAAGTTTGTTTTTGCTGTTTTGTGGCTTTTTTCAAACGCCTAGCAGTTTTAGCATATTCTTTATATGAAATCTATTTGTTATTTAAAATCTGCTTGTGTAACGGTCTTCAGGCCTATAAATATTAATAATGGGTGCTTTCCCTCACACAAAATGAACTATCCTGAAAACACTGACGATTAAGAAATAAAAAAGGGCAACAGTTTCCTGTCCCAGAGGCTTTATTCACAGAGTAATGTCCAGAAATATTAATCTCTTTTTCATAAATCTTCTTATCATGTGGCATCGTTTTACTAATCACAGTTGTTCTTTCTGCTGCGCTCCTCTTGCTTTTGAAAGGTTTATGAACTTGTTTGATTCTTCCGTTGTTGCTGTTGTTTTTCCCTAAATGCTGAAATGGGAGATGCTGGCATTTCATAATATGGGGTAATTTTGGAAAGATAGCTTGGTGGCTATAAACTTTTTTGTTCCACGCTCTCAGTTCATTTGTACCTAAGCCTCTATTTCTGTGGCATGTTCTTAATAGAACCATCCAGGCCTTTTGTTGCTCTAAATTTCTGCTTAACTGCTAAGCTTTCTCCTTAATTCTGACTGTGAGCATCAGATTACTGACTCCTCTCTGCCTCAGTCTTCTTGTCTGTAAAGTAGGCTTAATGATAGTGCCTGCCTCAGGAGATGTCATGAGATTCTTGTCCTCTGATGAAGCTGTTTGATTCATAATTTGATTTTGATGCTGCATTGTGAAAAAAATTCCCTCCCAAGACATATGGCTCTTAGGAGATAATCAGAAATTGGAAAACAGAGTATTTGATATTGAAGAATTATTGACAGAAATTTTTAGGCATAAGAAAATGAAATGGTGATTATGAATTTTCTATACATGGTTTCCTTTTAAGGACCCATATTGAGTTCTTTGCAAATGCACCTGTATTTCATTCGCGGTCATCTGCATCAGACGATAGGCTGCCTGTGGAGAGCCTGGACAGCAGGGCCCCGCATGCAGAAACAGCCACGAGGTCCTCGTCCCCCGCTTCTCAAGCAGGCAGAGCTGCCCCAGGCAAGCCAGAAGGTGCTCTGAGCACACTCACAGACGTCACACTCACCACCTCCCCCATCACCTGCCAAATCAGAATCGAGTTGGTTACTCCCAGTCTTTGATTTATGCAAATCTTTATTAGAACAACAGGTAGACCTAAGAACGGCAGCTAATTAACCCTCTGTCTTAGCACAGCGAGGAAGCTGAGAGTGCACATAGCTGCACTGTCGTTGGTAAGAGCTCTGGTCCTTCCAGATGGATTCAGTGGAGGAAGGCCCCTTCCCCGTGGCCTGTCCATACTGTTCAAACGCCCCCCTTCCCCAGCATCACTGCCCTTGGTTTCAGATCTCTTACAGACAGTTTAATTTAAACAACAAATATAATCCTTATCCACCAGTTGTGTCAGATATCTTAACTTTGGTCATTATTAATTGCTTGTCTTTGACCTGGTTATAGTTACATAGTAAAT